TAGAGTCTGGTTCTCAAAGACAGGGAGACGGACTCCTGGGAAGGTGCTCTACCATTCTTGACATAGAGTAAGGATGAACAAGGCAGAGCCAAGCAGCATCAAAGCACCTTCTCCTCTTATAGAGGACCCTCCTCTTAACGGAAGGGCAGTTTCCTCCTAGTATAAATCCTTGTTCTGTGAGTAGCAACTGGGACATGAAAAGTGCAAAGCACTTCCCCCCACCCCAGCTAGACACTCCTCTAGACGAGGTCTGTGGTGCTACCTAGTCCTATCCATTCTCTCACAGAGCCAACTATTCACTAATTGCTTTTTATATTATATGTGTGACAACATATAATACTCTCTGGCTTGACTTTTCAGAGTATTTGCCAACACAAATATTCCAGGTCCAAGATAAAACAGAGTAGTTTAAAACAGGCCCTAGTTATCCAATTAGCTGATCATCTCCTATTTGCTTTACCAAGCTGTGAGTATTTTCAATTATTTTGCCTATTTTTCTCATTCAAGTGAGCACAACAAGTTTTAACCTACAAATCTAATATCAAATTTTTAAGGGATTAACAGTAACCATGATGGTAGGCAAGTGTGGGGAAGAGTACAGGCTTTAGAGGAAAGGAAGTCTGAAATCAGACTCCAAAATCTGCCACTTATTAAGAATAATTCATACTTTGTAGGTGGTTGTGAATAGTATATGATAGTTACAAAATAATTACAAAAAAGAATATAGTATAAGAAAGGCACTCAAAAATTACATTACATGACAACATGGTCAGTGTCTTTAGCATTTATTGAGTAAGAATCAAAGAATCTTGAAAGTTCCTGTTTCTATTGCTAAAGTTAAAAAGTTCAAATAAAAGGGGGAAATCTCATAATTTGTCTTCAGAGAGAGAACAATGTGGCAGCAGTTGGAAAGGTATCTTCTGCCACATGTAAAATCATCCATAAGGAATGAAGGATGTGGAGATTTGCTTTAATGCAGTAATCATTCAGCAAACCCATACCAGTCATTCATTCAGCAAATATTTGCTCTGTGCAAGGCCTGTGCTAGATTCTGGGGAGATAGCTGTAAATAATACAGACACAGGTCTGGTTCTTAGAAGCTTACATGAATAAGTCAGAGAAGCTAGTAAATGGGGTATATATCAAGAGTAGTCCTGGATGCTATAGGAAGCCATAGGAGGGAGAGCAACCCCAAATCTGGGAAGTAAGTATCAGGAAGGTTCTCTGTAGACAGCAATAATCAAGGAGAAACCTGAAGAATAAATCCGAGTTAGCTGAAAGACTAGCACTCTAGACAGACAAAAGAAGCATGTAAAAGCCCCTGACTGAGGCAGTGCTGCAAAGACAGGAAATTACAAATAGTTAATTTCGCTGGAACTTCAGGAACAACTTGGATAAGAGAGTATGAAGGAGGATGAGGCAGACAAAGAGTAGTGGGAAACAGTTGGCAATGGATCCAGGAGCAAGATCATGAAAAGTCCGTAAACCATTTGCTCTCAAGGGCTCTAATTTAACTCTGGAGAAAAAAGGAAGTTGCTGAGGGGGTGGGAATGACATGGTCATATTTGTCTTTAGGAAGATCACTTTGGCTAAGCATGGGAAATCTTTTAAATCATTAAAAGAAACTCTATCTTAGAAAACAAACCCCCAAAACAAAAAATTAAAAGAAACTACTTAAAAAAAAAACTGTTTTAGAAGTAAAACATTTACTTGCACCTTAGATGAAAACTATTTTTTAAAGAATCCACAATTACAATGATTTGCAAATGTAGCACAATAAAATATTTGGCTATGGAATCTCACATAAGCCTTACTTTCCAGAAACATATCAACCCCCCCCCTCACTTTCCACCCTCACTGCCATCCCCCAGGCAGCTTATGCCAGTGTAGTCTTTGCTGCTCACTTGGAGAGCCAATTTGCTCAACAAAATAAGAATCTGCCATCAGCTACAGGAGCCGGATAACCCAAAATAGTAAATGTTAACAGATGAGAACCAGTTTTGATCCCAAGGTCAAGCAAAATAAATCTTAGATGTTTTGCCAGTGACCATTAAACAGCGAGAATATCTGCAGGTAATTTCTAAATTAGAAAGTCTGAGCCCCTAAGGCAGCACAGTGTGAGTGTCCAGAGTACCAGAATACAATCATTAGAATTAGACAATTCTCTGAATTTGCCTTTTAAAAAATAAATTATGCCATTAAGCATTAAATGCAAGGATTAAAAGTTCACAAACTTCTAGTTAAATCAAAATGTGGTGAAAACTACTGGCACATGACCAAATACTAAAAGAATCTCAGCTGTTTAAGAAATAAAACATTTGTTTCCAACTTGAAGCAAACCTTTTTAGGGTATATGGCTAAACTGACCTACAAATATAACATTCAAAAAACAGGTAAGGAAGATTTTTTATGAAACCAATAAAATAGTAAAATCAACTTTTAAAATCAAGATTTTGGGGGGTTGCTTGGCTAGAACTCACAAAAAGACTTAAGACAAAATATACATTTGGGGCTGGGGATGTGGCTCAAGCGGTAGCGTGCTCGCCTGGCATGCGTGCAGCCCGGGTTCGATCTTCAGCACCACATACAAACAAAGATGTTGTGTCTGCCAAAAACTAAAAAATAAAAATATTAAAATTCTCTCTCTCTCTCTCGATTTAAAAAAATATATATATACATTCTAAAAATCAAAATACATACATTTCTAAGAGAATTTAGAAACATACGCAATTATCCTAACCATAGGACAATTCTTACAAGGTCATGTGCCAATTTTAGAAAATAATATCACAACTGCTTAGGGTACAGTCAAGCCTCTTCTCTGAGGGGAATGGATGCATTACATTCTTTTTCTATAACTAGGGAATCTAGCTTTACATATTTCCTAAAATGATTAAGCTAACTTAATATTTCAAAACATGCTTTAGGTATTCACAATTCATCAATCTGCTTAATTATTTCAAAAATTACTTTTCAAAAACTACCATATTCTCACACACAGTCATTTATTTATTACTTGACCAGTGTAAGAGACCAACAAATAAAGAACGAGGCAATGGGAGCCACAGACTAGAAGTCACCTATTCATTCACCTATGCATTCCTTCATTAAACACTGGAGTATTACTTTAGTACCAGGCAATAGACACACACACACAAAAAAAATAAAATAAAATAAGGCCCTGAAGAAACATAACATGATATTTTATCAAATTTGAGATGCCATCAATCATAAGGCAAACTCTTAACAAAGAAAGAAAAAATGCTTTTAATTATGATCTAATGTTTGAATGAATCACACCAATTTCTCATTGCTTTGATTTTTTTCCAATCTACTCAGGAAAGTTTGGCAATTCTTCCTCCCTTTAATACATTACTTGACATTTTAAATGGCAGCCTTTTATTTTTTCAACACTTCTCTGTATAAAACAAAACATCATCTCCTTTTCGGTTTCTTCCTTTCTTGGCTCCCACAAAGCATTTGATTGTCGCTTTTAAAGAAAAGTTGATGGAGTCATGACTTCTCCAGTGCTATTTATTTCACTAATTCCAAATTTACATCTCTCTACTTAGGTTCTGTCCTTTTCTCTGTAATCTATAACTTTTTATTTCAAAGCCAAATCATAATAAACCTTTTTGAAGTTATTTTAAAAGGCAATTAAAGTCAACATACAGAGTGCTGACACTGTGTCCATAGATCAACTGAAATGATGGTACTGAATATAACCGTAACTATGCCTACACATGCAGAGGTATTGATAACTTGATGAGATACAAAAAATATGAGAAAATACATATCTTAGAATCAGAGAAGTATAACAACAAACAATCTCAGAGCACATATAAAGTAAGCCCCATTCCATGTGCTCTTCATATACTGTGTCACAGAAACCTAGAAGGTAAGCAGGTTGCATGTTTCCAGATGAATATGGTAACATCACAGAGCTCGCACATGGCCAGGCTGGTATCTGAATCCAGGCAGCCTAGCACCAGAGGCTGTGCTCTTAACCACTCTGCTACACTTTCTCTAGAGTAAATAACAGTAACTAGTGCTGTGATCAGAGGAAAAATCCTCGGAGAAAAAATCCTAAGGAAAGTGACTCTTCTCACTTAGAAAAGGACAGATCTGGCATGGGTGATTGTGGAGTCCTTCCCCAGTATCACAACATTAATAATTTTCAACCTTCTACAGGAAAACCTTAGCCCTATGCTGGAGAAACCTTAAGCCAAAACAGTTCAAAGACCTTCACTCCCATTAACTAATGAAAGAATCCTAAGCCTAAAATAGACATACTTCGGAAGGTATTTAAGAACAATGTGTACTTAAACTAATCTTTACCTTTAGAGTGATGGCAAAAGGTTGTCTACAGCTATAAGCAAGCCAATTTATGGGTTTTACTTTACTCAGTCATTTAAACACTTAATTCAGAATTAACACATGACCACTTACAATGCAGAGTCTCTGCTCATATATAAGTGAAAAAACAACAGATTACTAACAGATGCAAATATTGCAACATTTCCCCCTCTTGACCCAATTTGACAGTGGAATTAAACATGCAGCACACACTTGACAACTCTTTGACTCAAAAGGGACTGCAACACCCTGTGGATCTTACACAAACCAAGTCAGCTAATGGCCTGCTGGGTCACCTCCTCAAGTCCATAACCTCATCATCAGGAAACCTGGTGAAAATTAAAATAATTCCTAGTATTTCACTTTGAAGTTGTCCTATAGAAAAGAGTCAATGAAGGATGAAGATCAAAATGCAGTGTCTTCAAAGCTTTCATTTAAATATCAAATTAATATCAGTCATCTTTCTCTTTTGTAGACACATAAAATAATCTGCCCCAACAGCTATTTTTAAAAAAATTAAAAAGTTTTCTGGAAAAAAGTGAAATAAGTGAATTTTGGTAAAAGCGAGTTTAAAAAACAGTAAGGAAGAAAATGTTCAAAGGGAGACAGGTCTCACCAGGACACAGGACTTTATCACTACATACCTTCCCATGCTGCCCAGCTCTCTCATAGCAAATGACCACGTCTTCCCACATTTCTAGCTTCTCGAAGATCTGAAGAGCTGAACTGGTACATCCCAACTCAAACAGCAAACTTGCCAGTTGGCGCTAGAAAAACCAGTTCAAATAATTAACACTTATTGATAATTATTCTTAATGTAAAAAGTGAGATTCGTGTTTCACTTGCAGATATACCCAACCTGACTTTTTAAGGGCTGCTTATTGTAATAAATGTACAATTTCTATAATTCAACTTCTAATTAAGAATCTGTAATGATCCAATACTTACCTTTACTTTAGCAAACTTCATTAGAGGGGATGAAAAATTGAAATACAATATAGAAACCTGTTCAAAATATTCAATATGTTGATTTTATTACAAGCTTTTAAAAGAACTTCAAAGAAAATTAATATTTCCTTCTTACTTAAAGATTCTATATATGACAATCCCTGATTTGTGACAGTAAAATCTGGTAAAAAAAAAAATCTTTTTTTTTTTTAAACTCTGAGCAGGTACTTACTGCAGATGACATGAAATCCATATGCATCAGTCCACATAAACTTTTTATATAAAGGCATCTCCAGCTCTTTCTCACTCAGGTTTTCTTAGATTTATTTTAAGCAAATTCTAACCATCTTAGTACCTAATTTCCTAGTGCCTGGCATATAAAAAGGAGCAAATTGTGATAAGGTCAAAAAAGGTGACAAGTGTTCAATAGTAAAAGTATTATGGTTTATAAATGGTCCATCCTATGGAAATGGAAAAAAATTTAGAAAAGTGGAAGAAAAAAAAAGGAGAAAAGTACACTTGCACACTAGTGAGAACTATATTGTTTTCTCTTTTAAATACACCTTTTTTATACTAAAAATTGGAGTTGGCACTGTGGTGCACACCTGTAATCCCAGCAACTAGGGAGGCTGAGGCAGGAGAATCATGAGTCCGAGACAAAAAGTTGATGGAGTCATGACTGCTTTTGTGCAAAACCCTGTATCAAACTATTAAAAAAAAATGTAAAGGTGATGGGGCTGTAGCTCATTGGCAGAGCGCTTGCCTAGCACGCGTGAGGCACTGTGTTCGATCCCTCAACACCATATAAAAATAAACAAATAAAATAAAGGCATTCTGTCCTTCTACAATTAGAAAAAAAATTTTAATGTAAAAAGGGGTATAAAAGAAATTGGACACACATTTAAGAGTCAAGAAGCTGGGGCTGGGGTTGTAGAGCAGTGGTAGAACGCTTGCCTAGCACATGTGAGGCACTGGGTTCAATCCTCAGCACCACACAAAAATAAATAAATAAAATAAATAAAGGTATTATGTCCATTTACAACTCAAAACAAAAATTTTTTTAAAGAGTCAAGAAGCTAATGGATATGGAAGATCTAGAATAAAAAAAATGAAAAAGCAAAATGAAATACATGAGAGAACTATAAGCTAATATATTCTCAAAATAAATAAGGGGGTGGTCCCATGTTTTTTTATTCCATGAAATATAGGAGAGTTTGGCTATTTGGGAGCATTTCATGAAATCTTTTCAAAAACTGTACATAGCATATGAGAGCTAGAATTAATCTTGGTGTTCATACAGTGAGTACATCAATTTTTTTGTTTAATAAATGAAGGAAGTTAGTGACATTCAAGATAATATGGCTAGTTAGTGGCAGAAGAAAGTCTAATACTCTTTTTATAATAATTGTGCTATTATCTCCTAATCTCTAAAATAATACATAAAGATATGATTATTCCCTTCATGTAAGAAAAAAAGTGATTTAACTTCTTAATGAAAGAAATCTTTATCTAACTGCCTAAGGATTCTAAAATCAACAGCTTCTAAAATCTACATGCAGGCAAGATAAACATTCAATCTACTAGAACAGTATTTAAGTTTCCTAATGCTTCTGTTCAGAAACAGATACAAAGGCTATACCCTCAACAGACATATTTAGTCATACTAACGCAAGGTTGGAAGTATTTATCTCCCTATAACCTACTCTAAGAAATCTTACAATGGGGATTCTGAATCATTGAACAGTAGGTGGCATTTACAATTCTAAATACTACTTATGTACAGAATGCACAAGAGAGAGTACAGGACACTGATTTTTTTTTAAGAGAGTGAGAGAGGAGAGAGAAAGAGAGAGAGAGAGAGAGAGAGAGAGAGAATTTTTAATATTTATTTTTTAGTTCTCGGCCGACACAACATCTTTGTTGGTATGTGGTGCTGAGGATTGAACCTGGGCCGCACGCATGCCAGGTGAGCGCGCTACTGCTTGAGCCACATCCCCAGCCCCTGGGACACTGATTAAAATGCCAACAGCTGCCAAATCATCTAGCAGCCTCTGACTGGCATCATTTGACTCTATTTAACCTCTATGTGCTATAGCTTCCCCATCTGTAAAATAGGGATATTTTTATAAAATCATTGTAATAAAATAAGGTAACACATAAAAACTGCAAAAAAAAATGCATACACCACACTAAGTGTGCAGCAAAAGTTGGCTGTTATTAGCAAGCACAATCCAGGGACGAGATATAAAAAGGAGGCAAATGAGACTCAACATCAGGACACCAGGGATCAAGTTTATATATTGATCAATGCTAGAAAGTTAATTGCACCGGGCCTCAATATTCTCCATAAATTAAGAAATTGAATTAGGTACATAATCTTGAGTGATAAAATTTTATAAACCTTCAGTGATAAAATTTTACAAAATAGGGGAGACGCATCTATAGTATAAGAAGACCACAGTATAGGGGCCCAGAATCTCCACCTCAACATGGGCTTCTGAGAGCCACATAAGATAATCATATACTCTTAGAAAGAGAGCAGCTAGCCAGGTGCAGTGGCGCATGCCTGTAATCCCAGTGGCTCGGTAGGCTGAGAAAGGAAGCAACTCAGTGAAACCCTGTCTCTAATTAAAACACAGAATAGGGCTGGGGATGTGGCTCAGTGGCGGAGTGGCCCCGAGTTAAATTCCTGGTACCCCTCCCCTGCAAAAAAAGAGAGAGAGAGAACAGCTAGACATCTCTCTCAGGATACAGTGGCACATGCCTGTAATCCCAGTGGCTTGGGAGCCTGAGGTAGAAGGATTACAAGTTCAAAGCCAGCCTCAGCAACTCAGTGAGGCCCTAAGCAACTTAGCAAGATCCTGTCTCAAAAAAAAATAGTAAAATAAAAAATGGATTGGGAATGTGGCTCAGTGACTGAACACCCCTGAGTTCAATTCCTGGTACCAAATAAATAAATGAATAAATAAAGTACCAAATATAAATGATTTCATTTTGATTTTCACATTTGTTTAAGGTTCATTCTTCAGGAGTTTTTATGTATGTATGTATTTATTTGGTACCAGAGACTGAACCCAAAGTGCTATACAACTGAGCTATAGCCTTAGCCCTTTACCCTTTTTTTTAAGACAAGGTCTTGCTAAACTGCTGAGGCTGGCCTTGAACTTGTGATCCTCCTGCCTCAGCATCCAAAGTCGCTGGGATTACTACTGTGCACAGCTTAAAGGAGTTTTTAAATACAAAAAGTTACTTTGAAAATGAAAACATTCATGGTTCTTCTATATTTAACTTCTAGCATCTACTAATACAGTTTTAAATTATTTTAAAAATATTTTAATAGTAGGGGATAGGAAAGGTAGCAGAATACAACAGTCACTAATATGCCATTATGTAAAAACATGAGTGTGTAACTGATGTGATTCTGCAATTTGTATTTGGGGTAAAAATGGGAGTTCATAACCCAATTGAGTCAAATGTATGAAAGATGATATATCATGAGCTTTGTAATGTTTTGAACAACCAATAAAAAAAATTTTTAAAGTCTAATATCACTTTAATCAAAACAACTTGAAGTAGTTAGCAATCCCCAGCTACTTTTATTATTTTCACTCAAATGTTTGAATATTTGAACATAAGTTGAAATTATCCTTTTCTAATACAAAGAATTTTCCATTTCCAAGGACAAATAAAAGTACCTGAATGGCCCAGTATGGTGGTACTTGACAGCAATAGAAAACCTTCAATCGTTCCGATACAGATGTAGCTTTATCTTCAAATTGGTCTGCAAGAGCCTAAAGAACACAGATAATAAGTACAATCTATTATTGTTCAGTCCTTTACTTTTTTTTTTTAAAGAAAAACTGTTCTTTAGCATACCTGTTTCACAACATAATGACAAAGTGATATTTGACAATATGACCCTCCGATATCAATCAGGGAGACTTTATATAAAGAACTGCATTTAAAATTATTTTCTCAGGAATGAAGTGAAAGGAGAAAGTATGTCTGTTTGATCCTAAAGACTGAGTTCTCTCACTGCTCAGCAGCGGCTATCAGGTTGAACATTCATTCTTGCAAGATCATCTACATGGGGCAGCTGCAAACTATACACATTGAAGAAATCCTGCACTGTACTGAAATTCCTACCCTGGTACTAAATAACTAAACTCCTGGAGGCTATAGCAAGAAGCAGACCAAGAAGACTAAGGTGGCTGACTCACAAAAGGAACCAGAGCCAACTGAAAAGTCAGAAACTGGCACTATGCGGTGGTCAAGTGATCTGTCATCAAAAGAGCTCCAGACTCAATATCTAAGTGGATACAGACACCATGGAGTTCCTAGACAAACATGTAGGCAGCAGTTTCATTATTGACCATCTTCCTCTCTGTCTTCATTAGTTATTCCATTTGTATTGAGTATACAAAATTATCTGATGTTATATTTGGGCCTTCTCTCAACTCTGAATTATAATGACACTTTTTCCATAATGAATTACTCAAATTATCTTTTTCTACCAGTTTCACAGGCTTATCTCTGAAGATTATATAATAGTAACATGTTAATGTTAACTTTCTGATTTTAATACACAGATTGGATTACAGTAGAAGAATGTCCATGCTGTATTTGAAAATGATAAAGCACCATGTGGCAACTTACTTTTCTATACATTATGATACAAAGACAGTTGCACTATACTTATACCTTCTCTGCACCCCTCTCCAGGGTGTGTCTTAACTAGTCGGCCTCTTTAGGGTTGGCAGGGATTTTTTTCCCTACTATTTTTTTTTATTTTAAAAAGATGAATTAAAAAAAAAAACAGAATTCTAAACCTATTTCACTTTTATATAGAATATACTTCTTTCTACCATAAGCATGCCTACCACCTAAACAAGATTCTCCTACCCATAGAATATTATAGCCAGGGTAACAATGTACTCTTATATCCTCCACTGGACTCAAAAAGTATTCTTTTTCACTTGCTAATTTACTAAAAATACAAGGGCATTACTAAATCTTCAGGTTTTTCAGATCAGGATAACTTTAAGTAACTTATTCTAAAACAATTCCATTATATTTAAGCAATTTATTCTAAAACAATTCCATTATATTCCTTTACAGAAGTGATAAATAGGAAAAGCAGTGCTGGTAGTGAAGTTCCTAGATTCTAGTCTAGGTCTATCCCCAACAAGTGAGCCATTTAATCACAATGGCACACACCTCTGAAATGATTTTGCAAATGATCCTTGCACTGTCAACAATCTGAGTATGACTTTATCAAAACAATGTTTTGTTTTGTTCTGTTCTGTTTCAAGCATTTGAGGAGATTTTTGGTTAACTATCAGCCCCATTAGTTGAACAGAAGGATCATGCACTTATGTTAGGGGCAAACCAAGTGCTCAAATAACCTGGAAGGCGATGGTAGAAGGTAAATGATACGAAAAATGGGCTTGAATGAAAGTGAGCTCAGTTACTATTGTATATATTGTTTTATTAACAAGAACATACACCACTTTCACATACGCTCAGAAATTTTGGTAAACAGTCTCTAAAGCACTGTGTCCTTTCACCAATCCACTTTTTTTTCTTTCCAGTTTCTAAACTTCAGGAATTTCACATCTGAAAGTTATGGACACTTGGTTATAAATAAAAATAGATATGAAGATGTAGTTTTTAAGAAAAGATGGTAATGTAAAAACTGCAGACAGAGAGGGAGAGCACATACACACGTAAGCATATCCAGACATAGGATATGCTTAAACCAATCATTAAGAATAGTTTGAGGGACTTACTTAAACTAAAAAGTTTTTTCACAGCAAGAGAAACAATAAGAGAGGTAAAT